TGGTAAAATCGCATAACAGCAAAATCGCATAACAGCCGAGCATACACCCAGCAGCGCTGCTGATGCCTGAACGGTATGTGGAATGAAGTGGGCGGGCACCGGGAGGCCACTATGGCATGGGGCAAGCACTATGGGCAGTCTATCTGAAGTGTACCTGGCGTATAAGACGACCCCCCACTTGGAGGCATATTTTTCAGGGCCAAAAAATCGTCTTATACGCCGGCAAATACGGTAAATCACTTGATTCAGATGACTGGTTAGGGTAAGCCCTAGCTGATCATTACACAAATTGTGGCAATTTACAAAAGTTCCACATTTGGTGTAGTAACCACGACTATAAACTGCCCCTCCATTACTAAATTATTTGCCGTAGTAAACTCTGATTAAGTAATTCCGTAACTTATTTCTGAGGTTCTTGCAACAAGACCCGAATGAACAATGATTTAGTTGCCAGCTGGTATTAAAAGAACTAACTCTCAAGAAAATTATGCCAGCATCCCAATAACCAAAGCAAAAGTTGCGTTTTTACATATTCAAATCCAATTCTCCAAATTGCCCTCTGGAAACATTTTCTCTCCCAATAGGTTTATTTACCCTAGAAGGGAAAAGAAGGAATGGAGAAAAGAAGTATAAGAAAAGCGAAGAAAATGAAATAACTTTAAAAGGCTCAAGTTCTCTAAACCCCAAGTAATGACTTCAAGCATATTAGTTTTTGATTAATCAAATTCAAAGCATATGAAAACTGTGTTTTCTGTGCCCCAAATGCACCTTATACAAAAAGCCCATGTTAAAAAAAAATAAGTATGAGCACACTGCGTAGTGAAGAGCACCTGGGCTTGCTCGCACTGGCATCTAAGCACTGCCAGTGGCTCCATGTTCATTCTACATCCCGGGGTGTCAGGGGAGAACGAACGCTTGAGTCATGCGCCAGCTGAAATCTGTTGTTTCCTTGTTAAAACCAAATACATGTGATTTAGGTTTACCTACTCCCAAATGCACCAACATTCAAGGAGAGAAATATGTTAGTAGAGAAAATTAATTCAATTAAAAAATTTTATTTTTTTTTCTTACATCATTGACATCTGCCAATGTTTATCACCTCTTAAGCATTAACAGGTGATAAAATAGACATCACATGCCATTCATCACTGTATTATTTCATTTAACCATTACAGACCACTAAGAGGTATGTATCATCTTCTATAGTACAGACTAAGGTTTAAAAAGGTGATATAACCTGGGCAAGATCACAAAGTTAAATGGTAGAGTCTAGCTTTAATTTTAAACCCTCGACTTCAAAGTCTGCCCACTTAACCACTACACTACATTCCTTTCAAAGAACATTAAAATATTAATAGAACTAGGTTTTCTTTGGATGTGTGCTCTTGACTGATTATGTAATGTAAGCATCCTTTTTTCTGTTTTTATTTTTTTTAAGTATATTTTATTGATTTTCCACAGAGAGGAAGGGAGAGGGATAGAGGGTTAGAAACATCGATGAGAAACATCAATTAGCTGCCTCCTGCACACCCCCCACTGGATGTGCCCACCACCTAGGTACATGCCCTTGACCGGAATCGAACCCAGGACCCTTCAGTCCGCAGGCCGATGCTCTATCCACTGAACCAAACCGGTCAGGGCCTTTTTTCTGTTTTTAACACAATTATTGTTGGTTTTTATGATGCACCATGATCTCCATGAGCACAACCATCCAAGTGGAGATGACAACCCGGACCTGAATCTCTAAGAGCCCTCAGGTAGTTCCCCAGCCGTCCTTACACCAGGGAAACACAATTCAAAATCTAACTGAACCACAGGCATGTGTGTATGAGCGACCTCTTGGGTGTGGATAGAGATCACTTTCCCTGCAGCTGAAAAGAAGGCAAACCCACAATGACCGGTAGGGGAGGAAGATCCCATAGGATCGATCCATCAGACCTTTCAGTCACTGCTTTGTTCCTTTCCCTTAGTAATCTGACAGAGTCCTTTTCAGGTGTAGCTTGAGAGCCAAAACGAGGACTGGGGCTAGGCGGCGGTTCTCAACCTGTGGGTCGCGACCCCTTCGGCGGTCGACCAACCCTTTCACAGGGGTCGCCTAAGACCATCCTGCATATCAGATATTTACATTATGATTCATAACAGTAGCAACATTACAGTTATGAAGTAGCAACGGAAATAATTTTATGGTTGGGTCACAACATGAGGAACTGCATTTAAAGGGCCAGAAGGTTGAGAACCACTGGACTAGAGGCTCGCCGTCACCGTCCCTAAGAGGCGGCCCCACAGACACAGGTGTGCTTCCCTCCCTGCTCCGTGGTGCTAAGGACCAAACCTAGAAAAGTCGTTAGAGACGTGGGGCCCCCTAAGGCCTCCTACCAGCCAACGACTAAAGGCGCTGGGGCGGGGAAGGAGGGTGGCGGGGGGAGCAGGAGCTTTTCAGAAGTCGCCAGGCCACACTCCCGTGTGCTACCCTCCTTCGCTCCGTGGGAAGGCTTCCCGTCCCCTTCCCTCGAGACCCAAAGACCAAGGAAGCCAAACCTCGGCCCCCACCTGGGCGCGGCCTCGGCGGCCGGGCCCA